CATCACAGTCCCGTACCCAGTCGTACAGGCAGATGCCGCAAATTTATGCTCGGACGTCCCAAGGCCATGCCGAACGAATGCAAATGTCTCCCCCGTCGAACGCCTGGATCCACCCACAATCTCCTTTGCCACCGCACTTGCAAGGTCATTCACAGATGCCGCTGACTCGTAGCTCAGACCCCCTCTCGCAACCCAATGACCATCCGGCTTTTGCTACCTCTTCAAACTATGCGACCGTACCAGACTACGACATTATCCCTCAAAGATCTCTCGTCTCTCGTAGTGCACTGGCTTTCATGAGCATGAAGGCTATCTCATTCGTAGGCCTTCCGCACAAGACTCCGGGAGCCAACTTACATGCTCTTCTGGCGCCAGAAAATGCTGTGTCTTGCGTCCAGCATGCGCACGGAGGTGTTTTCGTGTCCGATGTTATCAACGGCAATTCATCCTTCGTGGTCAGACTCGAGGTTCGCCGCCATAAATAACACACTATTCTCGTACGCTAATCGTTCTCATAGTGGCCCGGTCTCCCTTTATGGGAAGAACAAGTGCTGGGCTACAGATTCACCCGCGGGGAAGTCGCACACCACGTCGCAACTGTCATATACAAGTGGTGGAAATCTGCCAAGACGGTTCGTACACCATTTGTGTATACAAATGGGCGCATATATTCACACTTGTAAACTAGATGCCGTTACCGAACGATCTCGATCTGCATAAATGGCATCCTTCGGCGCTGTGCTTCAGGTCGATACGGCTCTTGGAGCTGCGTGGCATCGCTCCAGGTATTTGGCAGCCCGTATGTGCTGTGGACCGTGGAAGCGTAGAGCACGATCAGGGCACTCAGAAAGGTCGAACACAAAGCCAAGGTCGTCGGACGAGTGAAGAACACAGCCGGGCCAATGGAGCGGCAAGTATTCCCAATGATATGCCCCGTCCGACGTACTACTGAAGGCTTCACACTCGCCGAGAATTTGGTACTTTGATACATCAATCATGTCAGAAATATATACTCACTGCGCCTCTCGCCCAACGGAGGTGTATTAAGCCTAGTCCAGCGTGTAATGTAGACTTCGATCGCCGTTTGAGCTCGCTGTCATAATTATCACACTTTCGCCTAACTGTTTGAGTGAGCCCCTCAACATTTCGTTCTTATTTCACCCTTAAAGTACGATACATAATCCATATCAAACTCCATCTACCCAACGCCGCGAAATCAGTCCAAATCGTTGATGCTGCGCGCCATGTGCATATCGCTGAAGCCGACGATCAGAATAGCTCTACATGCATGACGAAACGACGCTACTTACGGATAGTCGCGAGCCAGAAGCTCGAGGTCCTCGCGTTTCAGGAAGCCGAGGGCGAGCGGGCCGACAGTCTTCAGAGTGCCGACGAAGCCCTTCTTGAAGCCATCGACGAAGTCTGAGCCAAAGGAGCGCGCGAGCAGCTCGTCGTGGTCACCGCGGGCGAGCATTTCGAGGTCCTCGCGCTTCAAGAAGCCGAGGGCGAGGGGCCCGACGGTCTTGAGCGTGCCGATGAAACCTTTCTTGAAGCCATCGACAAAGTCCGAGCCGAACGACCGCTCGTCGAGGTGGCCACTTTGCTGCCAGTGGTCGCTGCAGGACGGCGGTCAGGTCAGGACATGCACGTGTAATGCAAAAGGGTAACATACAACAAGGCCTGGTGGGCCATCTTGTCCATGTCCTCGCGCCTGAGGAGACCGAGGGCCAGAGGGCCGACAGCCTTGAGAGTGCCAACGAAGCCCTTCTTGAAGCCGTCGATAAAGTCGGAGCCAAACGAGCGGGACAAGAGGTCATCGTCGCCCCGGGCAAGCATCTCGAGGTCCTCGCGTTTCAGGAAGCTAAGAGCAAGTGGGCCGACGGTCTCGAGTGTGCCAACGAAGCCCTTCTTGAAGCCTTGGACGAAGTCTGAGCCGAACGAACGGGCGAGAACGTCATCTTGGCCGGCGCGAGCGAAGATGTCGGCGAGCTCTCGAGCGGTGAACTCGGAGCGCTTTGCGGGAGCGGAGTAGGCGGCGGATGGGGCTGCGAGCGCGGGAGCAGCGGCGGCGGCGGCGGCGAGAGCGACAACGATGGAGGTACGCATGATTTCGTGAATGAAATGTGTAGGTAAGAAGTGATTAAAAGGAGAAAGAAATGTGGATTAAAATGGATCGTGAAATGGCGTGAAAACTGAAAGAAGGTGAAACAAGAAAGGCTATAGAGATCATTCGGGGTGAGCATTGTACGTCGAGAGGAGCTGGGACACTTACCAACCAGCGCCTGGACTTGAACAGTTGGCTCGAACGAAACTGAGGGAGCTGGGGATCAAGGAAAGAGGTGAACGAGCTTTATAGCCCCGTACTATGCCAAGATTTGATGCAGCGGGCAAAGCGGGTGTGCAGATCACTTGAAACACAGCCAGGGTGTCTAGCAACAAGGCGACAGTACAGCTCTCTGACGCTGTCGGATCAGTAGGGAGTTCTAAGGCACCGCGCGAGCACGTTGAATAGCGTTGATCATGCTGAATCTCGAGGGCCTCAACAAATTGAAATATTGAACAGTCGTGCGCGTGAAGTGCGAGTCGCCGAGACATCAGAAACAAGTGTTATCGCATACCCCGTGAGTATGTGCTTAGCGCACGCATAGAGCTACAGTAACTTTTGGAAAGACCGGTTGCGCACCTGGGTACGTACTGATTGGCACGTTTGTGCTAATATTCCACGAGATATTGTAAAGCTTGGCACGCTACAGACGTTGGGTGTCGTACCGCCTCAAGGGCTGATGGAATCAACCGCGCCTGGTATGAGGTTTCCCTGTAACATGGCCAAAGAATGCCACCGAAACATTTCTAAAAAGCGTTGTCATGAGAGAGGCGCATACAGCATGGTGCATTTTACTTGCACGAAATGAGCGGCCAGAGGCAGAGTGTGATGGCAGCGCGCGCGCGTCGCCCGGCGTACGGTGAATCTGAGAGATTCAGGACCAATCTCTAACCTCCGCCTCAGCGTTCGAAGTTGAGCAATGCCAATATTGAAGTTTCTTCGTAAAATATCTAGCACGCATGCGCAAGGGTTACAACCTGGTGAGATTGCAATTGGTGCAGATAGTTGGGACGAAGACCTAGGCGCCTATTCCCACGGATGTTTCCCGAGTATTTTTGATGACCAAGTCTCCATTGTCCCTTTCGTAATTCCTCCTCACACATTTAAATCTTGTCCTGGACATGGAAAAATACTCCCAACTGGATACTGCCCTTCCAACTGTGTCGGCAGAGGAATTTTACTCACAGTATATCGCACAGCGTCGACCTGTCATCGTCAAGGGCCTGCTAGACGATGAAGCATTCAAGGGCCGCTCCTGGGTACGCATATTACGACTGCAGTGTCATGATATACTCTTACTAAGCTGGTGAAGACAGACTTAGATGCTCTTTCTTCAAAAGCCGGTGATAGAGATGTGCTCGTCGAGCCTATGCACCCCACCACCCAGCAGTTTGGCACAGACGTCGAGAGGGTTGCCGTCAAATTTAGGGACTTTCTCCAGAGTTTGAGGAAAGACAAGGGTCCATACCACTACCTCACAACACAATATGCAGAGCATGATCCGGATGCCTTGACGGTCCTACCGCCGCCCGCTGACGCGCTTGAGCCAGATTTCCCCCGAGTGCCGAGGCTCATGGGGAACCTCTGTCTGCAACAGGTGAATCTCTGGATTGGGAGGTCAAAAGATGGATCCACTTCCGGGCTGGTGCGTCGCTCTAAGACATGATAAGCCCTCAGTACACTGACGATTACGGTTTCAGCATCACGATTTTCACGACAATCTTTACTGCCTGCTCAAGGGCCGAAAACGTTTCGTGCTGTTCCCGCCGTCTGAAATACAACACCTGTACTCTTACGGAAAGCTTGACGTGCTGCACGACAATGGCCTCATCTCGTATACCGACGCCCCAGTGCGATCTGACGGCCTGCCCGTCCGCGTTGCGCTGAAAACAAAGGTGAAGGCGCTGGAAGAAAAGCTCGACGCCGCGCCGAAGGGCAAGGGCAAGGCACGCGTCGACACTAAGGAGCGGCAAGCTCTGATCGAGGCGTACGAGCAAGCGTTGGACGAGCTTGCGCAGTACACCCTCGACGGTGCAGACGGTATCGACGCGGATGACGAGGTTGACGACTTCGACGCGTTGATGGCCGGGTTGGGGGAGGATGACGGAGCGTGGGCTGACGAGGGCGCGTTAAGGGAAGGAGGCGTGGAGGAGGAGGATAGCGAGAGCAGCGAAGAGGAAGAGACGGAAGAATATCCGGAGTGGAACGGGATCAATGCCGACAGCGAAAACGAGGACCAGTCCACCGGCGACGAACCGCCATCTTTCTCCCGTATTCCCACCGCTCTCGTACACAACCACCTCGGGTTATCTACCACAGCCGTGTCGTCGGCGGACAAGTCGCTGGACGCCTTTCCGAAATACAAGGAAGCGATCAAACCTTTCGTGGTTGAGCTCTCGGCTGGGGAAATGTTATACCTCCCTGCGTCGTGGTGGCACGAAGTGACCTCTACGTCCACCGGTACCGGCGATGATGCCGTCCATATGGCCTTCAACTATTGGTTCTACCCACCGAACAGGCTCGACAACTTCGACCAACCATATGAAGACTCACTCGTCTGGGAGTACATCCGCGCGACAAACGCTCCAAAGCAGAGGGCTACCGACACAACGTCGAATAAGAGGAAGAAGAGCGAGGGCGAAGGTTCTCTGAAGCACAAAAAGAGCAAGAAGCAGCATTAATATTGTATCTCGTGAGCTCTCCCGGCTGTATAGTCGTTTCAACTGTACCAAATATTCCGCGGAGCGCACTTGTCGTTAGGCTCCTGGTTTGCGTTCCAGTAGCTGTGGCGAGACCAGCCCAAGAAATTATTCATTGTCGCCAGCCACTGGCAGCATTCTAAGTCATAAGGCTGACCGCCCAACGAACGATTCTTTCCTGTAGCGATTTTGATGATCCCCTGATAGCTCAGTTGGAAGAGCGTGAGACTGTAATTGGTAGCCTTTATGTGATCTCAAGGTCACCTGTTCGAGCCAGGTTCAGGGGATAGTCTAGTCTGTTTTTTTTTCGCCCTCATGGCCTCAAAATGTGTGATAAGCACCTATTCTGCTTAGTACTGAGGCCTAGCTGAACTGGGGTATCCAGGAGGGATCTAACACGTCCCACTCGCGGCAGGGGCATCGATATCGGCGGGACAGTGAATCAGCTGGGACTTGGAGGTGGCGGAAGTTGTCACGGCTGGCGCCCGCCTTCATACCCTCAGCAGCGCTTTAATGCTTGTCGCCCCCGTTCGAACACTCCGTCGCGTCGGGGAAGGGACTTCAGAGGGACACTACGTGATCTGTGGGCAAGACAGTCAACCGCTAGTCGAGATCATCTGCCGGAGAAGGGGTGTACCAAGGTTAAGGGGTCGTTGCATTCACATCTGCCAGTACAGATTACTGACCAGAGGCTGCCGGTGTCTCGAAGCCATATAATGTGTGCATGTCCCGGCAGCCTCGCTCAGCATCTCTTGCGCCCTACACACTACCACTTACGCGACAGCCTCAAGGCCCAGGACCATCAACGCTCAGCAACGACGCCAGTGGGCAGTACTGCGAATGAGCACCCCCACCTCGCCTCGCAACAATTCCCCCTTCCTTGTCACCTCTCTCAACTCTTTCAACCGCTTCGCTAAGGAGGATAAGGCCGCCGCTCGTCGCCGGTTTGACGCAATGAACGAGAAGCCAAAGGTTCCTTCACTCTTTCCCGAGCTTAAGACTGCCACATGCCCAGGCAAGTTGAAGACTCCCATCAAGAAGAAGGCGCCGGGGGCCACCGTCAAGTCGTCGTGCAAGGTCGTAGTCGAGATGAAGCCCGCTGCGAAGACTGCAATCCCCCTGCTTACTCCCCCGTCCGAAAAGGTCGTGCGTCGCGACACCAGGCCTTCGGCAAGAATTCTCGCCAAGAGCGTCGTCTCAAAGAGGGTTCAAGTCCCGTCTGCGCCAGCCGCCGTCGTCCTCAAGAAGGCGCGAATGTCACCCAGGCCCGGGGAAGTTGCTCATATGAGGGTGCAGACCGCGCACAAGCCTGTCAATTTGGCTGAGCCAATGTCAGCCTCGCCCGAGGTATCTCGTTCTGCCCAGCTTGCTACGCCTCCCCCGACACCGCCCGTGGCTTTGGTCGTGCAGTGTACCGCACCAAAGCCCATCGCGATGCGAACGCCGACCATCATCAAGACCGGCAAGCCTGCCTTCAGTGGCTCTTTGCCCACACCGCGCCATAAGACCTTGGTGGCGAAGGGCACTCCTGTCGTCCCGAAGCGTGTATCGAAGAAGCCCTTGGAGCCTGAGAGTGTACCGATTGTTATTGAGGCTGAGGTTATTGTTCCGACTGCCGAGGCTGACATCGTGGCAGTAACCCCCGTGAAGGCTCTTGCTGCAGCTGTGTCTACCCGACCCTGCGACGAGGTCGTCGAGGTGGCCCAGCTGGAGAAAGAAGACAACACTGATGCGGTGACGAAGATTGTACGTACTTGAGCCTGTCCAGTAACGACCACAGTTGACGGCTCCATATAGAGCCTTCCCACCCCGCCTCCCAAGGTGGCGGAGGAATACTCTTTCCATAGACAGCGTTCGCTCGCCCTCGACCAGCGGAAGAACGCATATGCGCGTCGGAATGAAACCAGTCTTGCGTCACCGACCTCGTGCAAGGAGATTGTCGAAGGACTGGTCGTCGGGTACGGTGCTGCGCCTTCGAGAATCACGCCTTTGACGAGCCTTCTTTTGCAGCAAAGCCCCGGCGTCCTATATTCTAGATGTCAAGGAATCCACAGAAGATACTGCAGTGTAAGCGTTTCCCCCTTGATTCAAGACATGGCAGTGGCTGACTGATGTGGTCCAGAGCGGCGACATCCACGAAGAACGACGAAGTTCGCGATGATATCAAGACGGTGGGTGGCGCAGTCTCCAAGTATGTCTTCACCGGAGCGTGAGAGTGGACTCGGGCTCACGTATATTTGCAGCGGGATCCAGGCTCGAATGGCTGCCCTCTTCGGCAGCGCGTCTGTGTCGTGTGGGCCAATCAAGAGCGCTCCTGGGACATACGTTCGTCGGCTCAAGATCCCTGAGCTCGACGAAGGCAGCCAGGCGTCGCAGAACCAGAGAATACAGCGTGAGGTAGAGGCTCTCCGGACGATGAAGCGCGTGGGGAGCGGAAGCCATGCGATCGTCAGGACCAAGGCCTTTGGTGGGAGCCTGGCGGCCAACTACGCTGCTGGAGAGGGCCAGCTCGCGGCACCATCATCCGAACGGATGACGATTGCTGCAAGGAGGGAGAAGGAGTAGGTGGAAGTATGATGAGAAAAGTTCTTCACTAAAAATTATCTTCATGTTCGGGTTCGGGACTTGCATATCTTGAGCTTCACAAGTAACAGGCTGTGGTACTAACTTTCTGTATGAGCACTTTATAATCATCATTCATACTGTTCATTTCATACGTGTCCGAAAAGCAGATCCACTAAACACTTTAAAACGGTCTCAACGTCGTGCCAGGGCTGCTGGAGGCAACACACCTTCGTGTTCATTCCAAGACACTAATACAGAATCCGCTCGTACGCGACACTATAGAAGAGCGGTGAAAGCCTCCGCGGACCTTAGGCCTCCTGGGCAAGGAAGGGGTTCGCGATCTCTTCGAAGCCGTCCACTGGGCTCAGCAGCGTGATGGTCGGCCCACGCAATACGACCAGCCCTAGTGGTCGTGAGGTCGGCTCGCCGTCTGCGGAATGCCGTTAGCCAATCCCTTAAAGGAAAGTCCGAGGGTAACGTGCCTGTCTGCAGCTGCTCGACAACGTCATCAAGGACCAGGTTCAGCAACTGGTCAAAGCCCTTAAGAACACCGGTGACTATTGAATCGTCAGCTTGCATGTTGGAGAGAGAATAAAGAGTGTCGCACCTTCGCGACCGCCTGTAAACTTTACTCGTATCCTTTCATTGACATACTTGCTGAGGTCAAGAATCGCTTCGCGTTTGGGTTTGTCGAGTGTTGGCTGAGGGCCCTTCCCGCCACGAGTGGCGGGCCCACCGCCACGCATGCCTCCCCCGCGAGCACCCCCGCGCCCCTACCCGTATCTCAGTAAGGCTGTAGAGTACTCGAGAGGCTCGCCGCGACGCACTCTGTCGGCCATGTTCAGGAATCAATAGGCGTGGGTAACTCTGGCTTGCCGTTATTAGCGGCGCACTGGTCGTGAACTGTTTAAGACAATAGAGAGTAATTCACCGCATTCGTCAGATAGTTACAGCGTGGAAGAGGACAGAGAAAAATAAATTACAGAGTGAGCCCGCGATGGCGTTGATGAGAGATGTGACTTTGAAAATACGCGCGGCTGCGGTGCTTTCCCCAAACCCAGCTTGGCCTCGTACGTACGAAACCATCTCTCTTCCAGCCACCACCACACCCTCAACACCGCTCCTTTTGTCTCATAAAAATCTTCATAAATCTTGCCATTCAGCACTCTTTCGACGCTGACAACCATGAACGCCAGTGAACTCCTCGCTAATACCCTATCGCCAGGTGCGCCAAGGCTGCTCTAAACTTGTCGTTATCCGCGTATCCCTACTCACTCAGTCTGCGCGACGGTATCATAGACCAACACACGCGTCAAGATGCCGAAAGCAAGCTCGAGAATGCCTCGAGGGAGAACTACGTGCGTGCAGTCTTTGTATGCAGTGTGGCCGCTACTCTGACGGGCCAAACCACGGCATCTAGCCCGCCTACATGCTGATGCTGGGCACGGAGCTCGTCAATGAAGCTTCGCAACCGCACGTAAGAAATGCTGCAGGTCTCGCGTTGAAGAATGCCATCTCGGCCAAGGTATGTCTTTTTTCACGCGCCACTAGTGTTCATACAAATGGCCTGGCTCCTAGGATGCGACGAGACAGCAAGATTACTCTACTCGCTGGCTCCAGCTCGATGCAAACACACGAAACCAGATCAAAGCCCAGGCCTTGCGTGCCCTCGCATCTACAAACTCCCGAGTGGGCCAAGTCGCAGCGCAGTTCGTGGCCGCCATCGCTGCCGTTGAGCTCCCAATTGGCCAATGGATGGATGTCATCGAAACTCTGCTGGGCTTTATGAATGAACAGGCGAACACACCACTGCGAGTAGCTACTCTGCAGGCAATTGGGTACATCTGTGAATCTATAGTGAGCTGTCGTCCTATCTCTGCGATCGGAGGGATTCTGACTCTTTCTCAAGAAACCTGAGATCTTGGCCCTCCGTTCGAACGAAATTCTTACCGCCGTCATCCATGGAGCACGAAAGGAGGAGCCAACGCAAGAAGTACAACAAGCCGCCATCACCGCGTTGTTCAACTCTTTAGAGTTCGTGAGGGATAATTTCGAGCGCGAAGTGTGTATCACTGTCATTTGTTACACCTGTCCTCAATACTGACGATACACAGGGAGAGCGCAACTACATCATGCAAGTCGTGTGCGAAGCCACTCAAAATGCCTCAGTTCCCGTGCAAGTGGGCGCATTTGAGTGCCTCGTGAAGATCATGACCCTCTACTACGAGAAGATGGCCTTTTACATGGAACGTGCTCTGTTCGGAGTACGTCTACTTTACATAACCGTGCCTCATGCTTTACGGCCTAACATCTATTTTCTATAGCTGACAGTTATGGGCATGAAGCACACGGAGGAGGCGATTGCTTTGCAGGCGATCGAGTTCTGGTCAACAGTGTGCGAGACCGAGACCGAACTTGCTTGGGAAGCGGCCGAGGTATGACATCCATCCCAGATCTTAGATTCGATCGGACGGCTAATCGTGGTGATAGGCTCAAGAATACGGTGAAGTCCCTGAAAACGAGAGCAAGTTCTTTGCCAAAATCGCCTTGCCCGAAATCCTCCCTGTCCTCCTCCAGCTGCTCACACATCAGGAAGAGGATGCCGACGAGGACGAGTGGAATGTATCCATGGCCGCCGGCACGTGTCTTGGTCTCCTCGCGCAGTCCGTCTCAGACAACATCGTCCCCGCCGTCATCCCCTTCATCGAGTCCAACATCCGTG